GTTTTCTAGGGGTTAGATGCAATAAACAGGAAGAATAGACTGGCAAACTTGATCATAGATAGATTGACGCTATCTTTTACTAGTTTCAGAATATCGTCGAACTTTGGCTCGGTACCTTCATCCTTTATACGAGAGCTTATCTTCACCCACTTCCTTTGCAGTCGAGTAGGTAGGGGTTTTGCTATTACCTCTAGGACGGAACTTCAGTTGAGATCAGTCATGCGATTCATCGAAATCAATGCATTCTTGTAAGTCATTAGATTATCCAAAAGCTCAGAGTGCCTAGGAGTCATCTTGTACCATTACCTTTAACAGCCTGGAACAATTTCCATACAACCATAGAAGGTTTTCCGAATCTTTGACGCAGTACGGTAATCGCCTCAGAGTGTCCTTCGTTAGGGGGCATCAACTTACAGCACTGTATAGATCTTGCAGCAACTCCAGTGCAGTACCTCATCAAAAACATCAACTTCATTTCATTATTTTATAAAAAACTACTCAACATGATCTCAAAATCCTTTGCAAACTGTAAATAGTCAGCTGGGTTTCCGTCGAAGCACCGCGGTTCAAATTTAAGGGGTTTTATATTCCTTTAATCCCTGGACGGCGAAACAGTAACATCAACCATGTCATGCTTAACATCAGACACATCGTTACAATTAACAGACAAGTCACCATGACTTACTTTCCTGTTTGCATCCAAGACGCTCTGTCCCTTCTCTGACCCAGGCATCATTGAATGTAATCGAAATTCCAGAATGTTCCAGATAACCCCTGTCCAAAGAAGACTTGGCTGACACCAGGAAAGACGGACCAAGACTATCCAACCGTCAGAATCTCTCAATCACGTCTCAAAAACCGTTAATGCTCAGCTCTTTCTACTCCAGGCCTCTCCCTGTCCCTCGAAGCCTTTCAGAAACGCTTAGTACTAACGGACGTGAAAACCAGAACACAGATTGGCGACTGGAGAGTTCTTTATTGTAACACCAACATATAAGCAGCATAATAAACTAAGGTCTATGAACAAATATTACAATAATAAATCACGATATTACTTCTGACGGTTTTTCTACGTTCTTTTTGAACAGCAACCGATGAGACGGTGACTGGTGTATTGATGCCTCCGCGAAAATATGGGGAAGTTGGGTTTGAGCAAACAACCATGAATTGATCGTTCAGTCTTTAACTAAATGTACAAATTAGGTCTCCTTTCTTTGTTAGTTTGAATAAGTATCCGTTCTTCCAATCCTCAGGTACTTTGCCCTCATTCCACACCTTCTGCATTAGTGGTGTCATCAAGTCCGCTGTTGTCTCTGGGTCCATTTTCAATGCTTCTGCTTCGTCTCCATCTGGTCCTGCTGCTTTTCCAGCTTTTAGCATCTTGATGGCATTCAGGACTTCTGATTTCGTCTGGGGGTCGATGTTCGCTAGAAGTTCTGCTTCCGTCGTTGGTATTGTTGCGCGCGTTGTAGGTGGTGGTCGATTTAGAAGTCTTTTGAAGTGTTCAGCCCAGTGTTTTCTTTGCTCCACTTCTTTGTTGACTGACTTTCCATTGTCATCCTTGACTGGCTTAATATGTGTCGAACGTTTGCCCGATAGGTTCCTGGTTGTTTGGTAGAGTGTGGCGAGGTCTTCTTTACCTGCAGCTTGTTCTGCTTCACTTGACATGGCTTCATAATATTTTCTTTTGTCTTTCCTGACACTCTTCTTGACTCTTTTGCTCAGCGTATTGTAGCTTGCTTTCAACTCCTGTTTTTGTTGCTCGTCGGTGCACTGGATAATATTTTGTTCCACTATCCTTCTCTCTTCTATTACTTTCCAAGTTTTCGCAGTGAGCTTTTTTTTTTTTTTTTTTTTTTTTTTTTTTTTTTTTTTTTTAGGTCTGGCTCCACACCGTTTTCAAGTTATCCCAGTGCTTTTCGACGCCGACCTCTTCGCCAGTGTTGATTTGTGTCTCGGCTTTGTCCCTTATGCTTGCAATGAAGATGACCTTTGTATCTTAGTCCTTCAGTTTTTGAGTGTTGTACTTGGCTTGTGGCCTATCTGCAGCTCCTGTTTCCCTGAAAGCTTTTAATTTGATTTGGATTGTCCCTTGTACGAGGTAGTGGTCTGAGCCAACGCCTGCTCCTCTTCTTGCTTTTGTGTCCAGTAGGCTGCGCCTCCACTTCCTTGAGATTGAGATGAAGTCAACTTGATTTTTCGTTCTCCCATCTGGTGACACCCATGCAGCCTTGTGGATCACTTTGTGTTTGTATACACTGCCACCAATCACTAGTTCATTGAAGGCACAGAAGTCGGCGAAGAGTTCTCCGTTTTCATTCATTTCTCCGAGAGCTTCTCTACCCGAGATGAGTTCCCTTCCTGTGTTGTCTGGTCCCAGTTTGGCGTTCATGTCTCCCATTAGTGTTTTAATGTCGCCAGCTGGAGTATTGTCCATTGTTGCCTGTAATTGTCTGAAGAATTCTTCTTTCTTTTCGAGGTCTGAGTTGTTTGTGGGTGCATAACATTGTATAATTGACACTTTCCTTCCTTTGGAGTTGAATCTGGCGGTCATTATCCTGGACGAGATCGCCTCCCATTGCATCAGCGCCTTCGTTGCCGTTGGTGACATCATGATAGCCACGCCCTCGGTGTGCGTGTAGTTATCTTCTGGGTGACCGGAGTAGGTGAATGACTCACCCGTTGACAATTTGGTGAGTCCATTCTCATTCCATCTGCTTTCACATATTCCCAGCACTTGGATTCCGTATCTTTTCATCTCGTTTGCGATCTGGGCAGCTTTCCCTGTCTAGTACATAGTGCGGACGTTCCATGTCCCCACACAGACTTTTTCTTTTGGTGCAAAGAGATTCATCGTGCTGAAGTTTCTGTAGAAATTTTTGTTTACAGGGTGGGGTTGCTAGCCTCACGCCTGAGAAAGGAATGATTACATTAAGATAAAGTTTAGAGAGAAGCGACCTTTTGGGTTGCTCCTCTTAAAATCGGAAAACAAGGGATAAGCAATCCGAACAACACCAGCAGAAGGAAAATAATTCACAGCAAAAAGGGCAACAAGCGACAACAACAATACAATACAACAACATGCAATACAATTAAGCACAGTTAACTAAAACGATACCAAAACCATAGACTGACTTGGGCCAACTTGGAAATATAAATCCGACAGTATGCACAATTACAGATGAGTTAGTGTTAAAAGGTCGCAAAATGTCAAACAGTTTGTTATAGGTATTAGCAGTCAAGAATATTATATCCACAGCTTTAGGTTTAGAAAGTAAACAGACTGCAATAATTTCCAGAACTTCGTGGTGAAAAACAACAAAGAATTGAGATTTATGTATCTAAGAAAAATGTAGCGCACTAATATTTGGAACAGGTCAATGGCACGTCTTCCAGCTTGAAAACTCGCAGACTGTTGCATTTCTAAGAAACCAATTAGTTTGGCTGCTTGGAAGGATTCGAGATAGCTTCCAGAAGGCTTCAAATAGAAACAATGCTCTCGATTGCTGTTGGGTTGTCACTTCTGCTGAACCTGACCACACTACCTTGGACTTGTTTGCCTGGTTCACCCAACTTGGTGGCTCGACTATCCTGAAGACCGCCCTAGCTAGCTAGGGAGAACGTAACATTTACAACTGCTGAAAGATGTATTTGTTGATGATTTGGAGGGGGTGTACAAGTAGGTAACCACACCACAACAAAGCTAGTGGCCTCTTGTCCCTCGAAAATTATACTGAAGCAATGCGTTTCAATCCATACGGATAAACAAGTTGATCTCTGGTAGTGAGGCGGCTGAGGTAAACTTGATTTGAAGAACTTGTTTGAACCCTTACACAATCAGGTTCCCAGACGACTTAGGAAGTTATTCCTCACGCGACGAGAGTTTGTTTTGTATGGTTTTAGACCGTGTCTTAGGTCTCATTTTAACGGGGAACTGGATACAAGCGCGAATACACGAGCGATATGGCGAGGATATACGTGGCACTGATAGTTAGGTGCGCGTCGGTGGCACAGTGGTTAGGACTCTCGCCGACCATGCACATGGTCCGAGGTTCGATCCCTTGCCGAAGCACACCTGATATCTATGGTCGGCCTGCAAAATTTGGGCTACCGATATGCATGCTGAAAATTCCACACTTGTACCAAAAATACAGTGTGGAATCAAGCTGTAAATCAAAAAATAACTACTTGGCTTTTTCAAGACTATAAAATGTATGCACAGCCACACGGTGAAGTGCATCACTGCACTGCCGCTTGAAAAGGATGCCAACTTGTTCGAAGGGTTTCAAAGACGGGTGGCGAGATGGATATGGGTCTGCGAAATAAACCCTTTTATGAAAACTCGGGGAAATTAGGTCCTGAAACACTTAGCTACATTCGGCTTACGAGTGAATTAGTAGGTGTCTGAAAGGTTGCAGATGACAAGATTCATCCAATTAGAGTCATCCTACCATCAAAAGAGTTTGGGATTCTTTCCACTGGTACTTTGCTGCTCGTCCCTTCTCATCTATTTGCCTTGGAGTGGAAGTTGCAGAGATCTACATTTAGAATGAAGCTGAGCAATAATTGAAGTCACTTACTCATATATCATCCGTCAAGGTTTTGGCTAGTAATGACTCAGCATCCTTGAAATATCCACTGTCAACACAACAAGACGCTGTACAGCATCCTATACAAGCAGTGTCTATGATGTAAAATGGCTTAGAAATAGCTTTCTACGTGTTAATCAACTTACTTACGAACAACCATGCGGCGACAAATGGCGGTTTTGGCTGACATGGGCGCAGTGCCTGACAATAACTTATATTAATCTGCATTCAGTACAGTTCACTTCCGGTGTTACTTAAGATAAATCAGGGGATCAGTTTCATACACAACAGAAGCATGGTCTAACCAAGATGCATGCTGCAAACCAGATATAACCAATCCCAACACCACTACCCTCGAGGACGACCAAACGCACGTTAATCAAGTCGCGGGGCATTCTACTCAGGAAACCTTACCTCAAAACCAAAATGCGAGCAGAAAGCAATCAATCCGGTACGCACTAGATCATTAAAGAGGTACTGAAGAGTGGATATTGAGAGTTGGTATGAAACCGATAATTCACTATTTCTATTCTTTGCTAAATGCCGCTTTATTTACTTTGACTAACGTATTGGAACAAAAACTAGATTCAGAAACACTATCTCGCCAAAGGGATTACCACATGACAGCAGACTAATTTTTACCTCTGAGAACTGATGGTAGTTTGTTTGATCGTTTCAATAAAGGATTCAAGAGCGCTCCATACCTTGGTATCCCAATGGATTAACTTGAGAAGGCAGTCAGCGGAGTAAGTTCACAGCCCAGCAAATTCGAGTGGCATGTTATTGTTAGCATATTATATGTGTTAATGAATTTTCTACTTGTACTTCTGATATCCAATGTTTTCTTGAATTCCTGACACACCATGGTGCGGGTTAGATTCATACATAACCCTCAGCCTGAAAATCTTACTGAATACAGTCTATATGCGCCGTGATATTGGTGAAAATTCGTTTTGTGCTAGCTGAAAGTTGTCAACTGTTTGTTCAGTCTTGAAGTAAAAATGACTGCATAGCTCGCCTTGGGATTTTGGTGATTCTGAAACTCGTGCCGTATTTGCCTAATTTTCGATTTGAATGAATTCCAAGTCACACTTTAATTCCAGAAAAGGTGGGTCACTGTTTAGAACTTAAAACCAAAAAAATGTCAAAATTTTAACCAGTCTCGATGTTAACACCTTTTTTAATGGGTTCTCAGGCGAGGGGGATGAAGGTACACACCATCTGTGCTATGCGTGCTGGCTTGAAAGCAGAATAACGTCGTTACACAAGACTACCTGTTACCGAGGGATCTCGTAAATGCATTTATATCAGGATATCTGATATTTGATCTTTTTTTAACGTGCTGTAAGGCTACAGATTACAGCCGTGACTTCATCAATTTTCTGTTGTGTACCTTCATAGTAGAGGTCAGTTAAACTTTCTGGTTAAACAGGCTTACGAATTAGTTTTCTGAAAGCACTTAGCCACATTTATGTCGTTTGCGCTATGGCCAGTCCTTGTTAATACAGAAGAACAGCTCTTTTTTAGTAATGGGAAGCTTGTGGTCATCTTATCGTTTTCGGCTTTCCAGTTATGGGTCCATTTATTAATTCTTTCAAAGCAGCCACCATTCCAAACTTTATAGCATACGTCAACCATTAAATCGATAGCCCTTTAGTTCGTATTCGGTCTTCAGTCCCTTTATGTAGTTGCACTGAAAAACTTCAGTTTATGACGTGGCTTTATTTGCCGTGGTTTGATTAGCTGGGAATTCTCTGAAGGACTCATAGACAGTCTGTGTTCCTGACTACTTAGACTTTGCCATCCAGGTACTTAATTCATGAGACTGATTTTATGTCTCAGCTTTAATCCTACTTTACGCGTCATAGGGACATTAGTGGATGTTGTGTCCACATTTTCTAGATACCTAAACAAGTGACTAAGTACATATTTAAAGTGATAACTAATCACATTTCTGTGAATAGAATATTTTTTAACACGCTATCGTCACTCAACCATTTCTCACTATACTTCCTCACATTACAGAAGCCAAGACATGCCGCTTCCTAAGCATACAGTTCAACCAGTTAAGCTAAGTCAGGTGGTTGTACCAAATGGTGTAGACAACGAGTTAGAGTTCGTCGTTAATTCAACGGTGTGCAATGTTATGCGGCAGATAGCGTCAATTAGTCGGCTAGCTAATAATATGTTTGAAGAACTCACTAATGATTTGTCTCGACTTGTTGAAAGAACTGCTCGTCTACAGAATCGTCTAGGTAAACTTCATGAAGATATGCAGATGGCGCGTAATGGTGATGAAGATCTTACAGCTGGAGTCCAGGAAGTGGAACTGCCAGTCTTCACAAGTAAAAAGCCAACAGATAGTCAAGTGAGTTGTATATTTTTTAATTTATTTATTGTTTAACAACATCAGGTTTTGAATAGAAATACAATACCTCCTTCAATGCAATCACATTATGATCAGGCTGAACCAGCTCCTGCACTTCAACAGATGGATGCTCTTAGAGATGATAAAAAAATCAGTATGAAATTATACTCAGATCCAAGCTTCTTCTTCGATTTATGGAGTCAAGAGATGTTACAAGATCCTAAGCATAAAAGAACTGCAAAGAAAAAAGTAAGTTTTGATTATTTTTTTTGCACAGGAAATTCTTTTTTTTTAATGAAAATGATACATGCAACTATAGTGTTCGCTGACCCCGACCGATAGCTGCTACCTTGACGTGGTGATCGGGCTTGCACATTGCAATGACCCAACAAGATACACTGGCTGAAGCCAATGTTCCTGCAGGTCCTACCATGCCAGGAAGGTTGTTAGGATAGCGATTAGACTAAAAGCAGTTACCGGAATGGTGTAAGATTTTTTCTTTTACACTGTGCTAGGGATCTGTGCCCGAAGTCGTACTTCTGGGGAACAGGAATGTAACAGCAGTGAGGTGTTTCCCTCAGATGACCAGCATGCCAGCCAGCTATGCTGTCTGTCCACTCTGGAGATAGGGGGTTAGAAAAGGTCGGCCCCAAAAATTGTACATCCCGACTTACCCTGCGGTGGTAAGTTTGCTAACACGATACCAATCCCAGAAACCAGTTCAAACAGGCCTTATGTGACCGGCCTAAAGTCCTGGGCTCTGCGTTCACGCAACACTTTCTGTTCCAGGTACCCGAAGTATCAATCAACTTCCACAGTGGTGTGGGCAGGCCGTAAGTGACAACTACCCACACACTTCCAAAAGCACACAAAGCCTTCCTGTTCGCTGACTCGGAATCTCATACTATGGTTTACGGGCCTCTGTATTAGGAAGAATTTCTCAACTTTCAGGTGCCTGTCGGCGGCTGCGACAAGATCACAATAGTTTACACAAAATGATAAGTTTTTTTGGTAATATTTCGAGCAAAATTACTTTTGGTGATCACATCAACTGCTGGAATAGTTTTTTTGTTTTAATTTAAAAGCTCTCCTTATTCTCTGTGTACACAGAAGGCCATCTTGAGGATTGTGTAGATCAATTTAAGATGTATGAATAGAATTGGCGAAAAGCTAAGCTGAATGTCCATTAGTGGGCCAAGTTAAACTTTAGGCACCATTAACTACCAAACTCACTGAGCAAGTGAGTGGAATCCGGCAAATAATAATGTCATCATCAATAAAATATACTCGTCGAAGTATTATGTTATTAAATAAGATATCTGGCTTAGGTTTGGGAAAGATTAAGTTACTCTTTAGGCCAAGGAGAAGTTGGGGTTAGGTTAATCTAACAAAGGCGATATTAGGGTTGGTTCGAGTTAGATTACAGTTAGTTAAGGGATATTTTCACGTTAGGGTTAGGTTGAATAGATTAGGGTTAGAAGACCAAAATAATTAAATGCATGGAATGTGGCTAAATTTCTCTGTTGATGTAAGAATAGAACTTGTGCACTGTGGTAGAGTATAATTTCATTATGGGTAAAATTTATTTTGATTAAGTCTTATACACCAATATTTACTGATGACGTTTCGAGCACAATCTATTGCTCAGTAAATATTGCTGTATAACGCTATGAAGCTTTATCAAAATAAATTTTACCCACAATTGAATTATTCTCTGTTGATACACCAACCTAAAACGGAACCATTTTTATCCCATATGAGAGGAAGGTATCCTCTGTGACACCTTTATACAGTTTTTATTCAATTTTTTCATAAATATATATGTATTCCATGCACACAAAAATGCCTCCATCAGGTGATTGGTGCTTTCCAGGCCATTTGCTGATTGTTAGTTAGTGGTGCTTAAAGTTTAACTTTACCCATTAGTGATAGTGTAATTTACGTATACCTTGATATCTAGAGATATGATGCTGCAAGAGAGCTTGCAGCTTGCATGCCGATTAGCTATGTTTTTTGTCAAATTTCATATTAAATCCTATTTTTTTATATTTTTGAAAACGTTGAATTTTGTAGACTGCATACTTTCAGTATTGTAGATTAGGTTTCTGTGACATGTCTGTCAGGTACTCATGGCCAGTCATGCTTTCATGTTAATTACAAAGTAATCACATGTTAGTGCTCAACTTAATGATGGTGCTTTTATTCACTCTATCTCTTTTCGACATAGAATTTCGCACCGATGTGCGGCAGTTCGAGTCGCCACACTCCATGTTACACACAAAGCAAGAGAAGAAAGTAGAAGAAATGCATACTAGATAGACAGTAAACAGAGATGTGAGACAAGGGAATAATAATAACGAAGAACACTATAGTTTCATAGGAAATCATAAGTCACAAGGAGTGGATGCATCTGCGACAGCCAAGCGTTGACAACGATTTTGAGCCAGCCATATCACCAATTGTTTCCAGCCTTCATTGGTTTTTACTGTCACGAGGACCCCAACCAGTCAGAAAGTCTACACCTTCCTACGTGGCTCAAACTAACTGTTGTGGATTTCACTGACTGGTGCTATGTGTTGGTTTGACCGCCGCTAGCTCTTTTCCAGTCTGACCCTATGTCAGCTAACATTGCCCATTGTCAAGGAAGGCGATGGCTAGTCATGCATGCATGTGTAACACATCTCCTAACCATCTCAGTGGATGTAGCTTCACAGCCTCGTCGATTGATTTCCCCTCCCACCTACCTAACACTCAACTTAAGCTTAACCTTGATATTGCTCACCCTATTATACCACCAACTAACACAGGAGGGAGATAGAACGAACACAGGCACCTATGATGAAAGACAGCTAGTCGGCCAAGCTTTTCATATCCCACTCTCAGTGGGCAGGTCTCACAGCCAGTTAGCCATAAAGGAGGACTGAGCGGACTGCTGAGCAGTACACTCGCCCTTTGGTCGATAGCCAGCCGAATATCACGTCTACGCCAGAGACAGTATGTGCGAAGGTAGTCATCCGTATCCATACTGAGATTTCGTCAGAGATCAACCCGTTGGCACTGTCTGATGGTACTTCCCAAATAAGTGAAGCGGTCAACATGCTCTACCAATTCACTGCCTATTTCTGAGCTAGGAGTCAGTCAATGTAGTCCAGTCATTCCTGTAATATCATTTTACATTTGACAGCAGGAGCAAATCGCTCGCATGCCAAACATTCATAGATTCCAGCTGGTGTTCAGAATACTGCTGTATTGTGTCAGCTTCTTCGGCTAGAAGGATTATATCATCTGCATATTCTAAGCCAACGAGATTATTCCATGGTAGCAAGTCAATCCCTGAGTCTCTGAAGGGAGTTAGGGTTAAATCCATTAGTATGATATCTATGATGAAACTGAATAGGAGTGGGGATAATGATCATCCCTGACGGACACCACCATTACAAAGTATTGTATGTTAGTGTTTTATTTTGATGATGGTGCTTTTATTTACACATTCCATCAATGCTAGAATTAAAAACGTCATGCGGCTACTAATATTTTTTCTCACAATAACTGGCCAACAAATACCTATTGGAAGCTGCTAAGTATAAGTGGATAGTGAAACTAGAAGAAAATGTAAACTAATATAGTAACTACTACTAAATAAATAACGAAAGGATTACTGACAGACCACTTTTATGTGCAACTTGAATTTCGTCGAAATTAACGAATTTGACTAGATCGATTTCTTCAGAAATTAGACACACCATTCAATATAATCGTTATTTTACAGCTAAATGGAGTTCCAAGTAGTCGGTCATTTAGAACACTTAGTCCCTTTTATAAATTTGGATGGTGTTGTGATTAGAAGACGGAGATTATCTGAAAAACGATGTGATGTGATGTATTTGTGCTACACATTTCGAGCAATCTGATCCCTCACACATTTACTTGTCAAGTCGATATATATATGCATGAAAAACTTAAATTAAACAAAGTGACAAAACAAAAAGGATTTAAGAATGATTAACACAACGTTTTGTAATCCAATCAAATAAGGATTACCAAGTTAGGTTAGGAGTAATAATAAACTCTTTTCGAACTCACAATTGTGAGTGAGGGGCTTACGTTTATGAATAGCTATAGCCTCAGCGTATTTCAGTAAGCGCCCTTGACCATTTATTTATAGATGACCTTAAAGGCTGAGTTAACTAACATCAATCTTATGGTTCATCTCGGTTAGATGTTTAGCTATAGACGAAGTTGGTAGTCTGATATGTGCATCTATTGGTTTTCCACTATTCGTTTGTTTTCTCGACCATTTCGGGATATGCTCGCTGTCTCACCCTCACATGCAAAGCACGATTACTCCTCCCTATGTATGTGTGTCCACGGATACACACGAAAATTGGCAAATAGTGTGGGATGTGACATAATCACTTGTGCACTTTTGAGGTTTGCAGTGAAGCGATAATTACAAGGCGGGCTGCATAATAGGTCCTGCGGATGACCAAATTCAACCTTTGTCTCAAAATCCTACTGTTTATTTCTCCATTATATGGTAATTTGATGAAAACATTTTTCTTAGGGGCGGTATAGATTGTAGGTTTAAAGACTAATCGACTTCTACACCTGTTTAAAATCTTAAAGGATATCCCTGTTTTCAAGAAGAGTATCCATCAATATTTCATTTTCTTTCTCTATAACATCAGCTGTGCAAATACGTTGAATCCTCTTAAATAGACATTTCACCAAGACTGTCTTATACTGTAATGGACAGAAACTGTGAAAACTAAGGTATCGCCCTGTCCAAGTGGGCTTTCTGTAGATTGACCGTGTTATCGAACCATCATCTCTCCGACTGAGAAGTATGTCTAAAAATGCAAGCTGGTTTCGAATTTCTTCCTCGCATGTATAAGGCTTATATGATTCTGAACAGTTAAGTCTGTATAATAGACGACTCGCATCTTGATGATCTTCGCATATCAAAATGATATCATCTACATATCTCCCATAGAAGAAGGGCACTTTCGAAATTAAAGCAAGGGACAAGTTCTCAACATAAGACATCTAAACGTCTGCTAACAAAGGTCCTAATGGACTCCCCATAGCAACACCATCCACTTGTCGAAAATGTTCACTTTCAAACGTGAAATGGACGTTTTCAGTACATAATAGTAATAAATCTTTCAAAGTAAACTTACATAATTCATTGCTTACTGGACTTAAAATATCAGCTAACCACTTTGCTGATTTATGTGTAGGAGAGTGACACATTGGTCGGTTATTTACCGATGGCTACTAATATTTTTTCTCACGATAACTGGCCAACAAATACCCACTGAAAGCTGCTAAGTATAATTGGATAGTGAAACTAGGAGAAAATATAAACTATTATTGTAACACTACTACCAAATATATAGCGAAAGGATTACTGACGGATCAGTTTTTGTGTGTAATGTAGGTTTCGTCGGAAGTAAGGAATTTGACTGAATCGATTAGTTCAGAAATTAGGCACACCATTCAATGTAATAATCGTTATTTTACAGGTAAAAGTGGAATCCCAATCAGTCGGTTATTTACCCAATGCCTAGAAATAGAACAAAGTTAAAAAGAGCTTATGGTTGATTTAGTTAAAATTGAGCTTGTGATCTCATCGTTTTCCTCTTTTTAGGTTAAAAATTTATTTTTATGTCTATTGAATTTTTTTTGGTTTGGTTGTTTGGGCTGAAAAAACCTGAGAGAGACAACCCAGTGTGGAGTGTGCTTGGCATCCTTTGCTTTGTACTTATGTGTGTATATTGGCAATTTCCCCATGGGGGAAGGGTGTTGTGTAATATAACCTACGGTAACGATTGTGGTTGACATCCTGTTAACTCTGCGTCTTGAACTAAGTGATCGGATTCATATCGTGATTTGAAGCCAAACAGGTATGTTAAGCTGATTCATTCACATTCAGTATCACTGTGTACTTCGTTTTAATGTGGAACTATAACAGATTTTAGCTTTTTACAATTTAAATTTAAGTTACTAGACACCTTAATATTGAAACTAAAAAAACCCTGTGACGATTGATTTCAGCGACCAAAAGTCAAAGCGAAATCTACTGTTAAAAATACATCGAATCATCAAGCCGTGCAGAAGCCTCAGCTGGTCATTCAACAACCTGGAGTTGGTGGTTTTAATAATAGTAATGATAATAATTCTTCATCAATGCATGATCAGAACACTTCACTGAATGCCAATTTACAGATGATGGTGGATAGAGATAACGCCGCTATCCTTTACGGTAAACCACCAGGTCAACTACAATTCCCTAATAATAATAATAATGCCAATTTCGGGAATGTTCCACTACCGCCGCCACCACCTCCACCTCCACCACACCCAGTTGTCGCCCAGTCAATGCAAGTAGAGGATGGTGTAGATAAGCGAGGGGATTATCAATCTGGCAGACAGGTCTACGATGGTAACAATCAGTTTTCAGTCATAAATAGTCATATAAACGGTAGTCATGATCCTACATCGAATCATCAGGTCACCCTACCGGAGCCCCCTCCTACACTTCCCGTACAAATTCCAACGCCGCATACTATACCTCCACCACTGCCACCTCCAGCCTTCATGAATGAATGTGATCTAAAAAATGCAGGTTAGCTGAAAATATTCTTTTTTCTCCTACTTTTCCACATCGTCTAATTTGCTACATACTCTTTAGTTATATGAGTAGGATTGCTTATTACTACTGGTTTTAAGAGTATCTCAAGCAGAACGTATACTCCTTGAGATCTTCTAATGTGATCCTTATGTCTATCTGTTTTCGACATAGAACCGCTTTGCACCGATGTGCACTAGGTCAAGTCGCCACACTCCCTCCTCGTAGCACACAAAGCAAGAGAAGACAGTAGAAGAAATGCATACTAGATAGACAGTAAACAGAGGTGTGAGACAAAGAAATAGTAATCACGAGGAACGATATGGAGTTTCATTGAGAATCATAAGTCACAAGGAGTGGATGCATCTGCGACAGCCAAGCGTTGACAACGATTTTGAGCCAGCCATATCACCAATTGTTTCCAGCCTTCATTGGTTTTTACCGTCCCAAGGAACCAAACCACCTTCCTACGTGGCCTAAACTAACTTGTCGATTTCATTCACTGATGAAGGCGTGTTTTGGTTTGACCGTCGCTAGCTCTTTTCCAACCTGACCCTATGTCAGCTAGCATTGCCGATTGTCGATGAAGGCGATGATTAGGCATATTATTCATTGAGTGTCGTTATCTGAAAATACCGGCTCCGCTAGCTTGGACATGTGCTGCGAATATCATCCTAGAAGCTTCCGTACAGGTCTGTGTTTACTAGCCAACACTAGGACGAGATGGAGAAGGCGGACGGGTGGTCAGTCCATGACGTGACGTCGTCGTGGGGTGAAGGATGTTTTCGCTAGATTAGCGTCATCGGTTGGTGTGTCACGACTCCCTGGTTGGGGTCCGCGAGATAGCTCGAATCGATGGCTCAAAACGTTATCGGATATGGCCAAGAATCGCAGTCATCAATGGCGAACGTGTTATAATTTCCTTCTTTGTTCCCTTCCCGATGATAGTTGACGAATGCTGTTTGAACTTGTTAAGTAGTATGACTGTTTTCTTTCCAGATGAAGTTCTTTATCCGTTCTCTACTTATATATTTTTTCTTTTTCTTTGATCTATGTTGTTTTATTGTTATTGTGTGGCGCATCCTTCTTGGTGCCATATTGTACCAAGTTTTTTCTTCGTCTAAATAATAATAATAACAATAATAAATGATTTCATTTTCACTTTTTTTGCAGGTGGTTTCAACAAAAATTCATTTGCTAACAGTGATAATTCTTGTAGAGATATTTCTTCACAAAATGGAAGTTGTGCGCTTTCATCATCCATGCACTCGCAAGATACTCAGATGAGACAATCTCAATATGGCAATGGTGGTGATATTATGGAGTCGGTAAGCATATTTCACTTTCGTATTTCAGTTACGCACTTCCTTTTGACGGTCAAATATGATACGGGCAGGTGATCGGTTGATAAAAAAATTTTGCTAGTCATAACAGATTCTTCATTATATATATATATATATATATATATATATATATATATATATACCAGAATGTGAGCCATACTTATTATTGTCTAAGGACTTATGATGACATAAGGGAAGGCAAACGGTGATGATAAAAGGAAAAATATTGTAGCTATCCTTAGTAAATTTATATGTTATCTTTGGGCTACTGTCGTTTCCTTCAAAATAATATACAAGATTTAATCGAACCTATCAAAGGGAGTAAAGTTAAGACATCTGAGAATAACTGGAGGCACTAGCTATCCAAACAGCTGTCCAGACCTTCCTGCTTCTTTTAATCAGCTCTCTGACGAATGTTGACTCAGGAAGAAATTCAACAAGTATAACTCCGCAACTGCCTACAAACTTACATTTCCTCTCTAGTGTCCCTCTCGTATCACACTCAGTTTGTCACTTCCACTAAACAGCCTAATGCGTGATAGCGTTTAGCGGTCTTTTCAGCGTAAGTCCAACCGACGTAACATCAGCTTTTTAATTTAGCGTCGTGTTCATTGTGTTAACTGCTGTAGATGTCTTTGACTGATTTCAGAGTAAGGAATGCCTTATTTGTCCTCGCAATCTTTCCTTTCCCGATAATGACTGACTTTGACATCCACATGCATGCCTCTACCTGTAGTTGAAACAAGGCTTCCCATGCACGAAATGAAACAGACAAATTTTTTCCGATTTCTCCGGCTGACTGATATTGGTTGTTGACAGTTAAGCGTCTTTTAACACCTGTGTATTCTCTATATCCACCTGAATTCCTGTCTTCTCAACCAGATTATTGGTTTTCACTTTTATATTTTCGGCCGATGTACTCAGCTCTGCACGAGCAAGTTAACTGGTATATGCAGGTTGAAGTGGCCCAATGCGACACCTTGTCTTTCGCGTTCTGGCTGAACAATTTCTTGCAGGGAAAACGTCAGTCGTAAGCATGTGACAAAGTATGTTTTCCTCAGAGATTTGCAGAGGCTTTTACGAAGGATTTCTGCTTCAATGTCACCTTTGAATTCTAGGTACGGAAGAAGTATCTTCTTAGGGACAGATTGGACTAGTTCGGAAGTCTTCTTTGATTTGAGATTCTTGTTTATGAACCTGGGGGGGGGGAGGAAACCAGTTTCCATCAGATTTCTTCGGAGATCACGCAGTTCTCTGTCAATCACTTCCTCGCTGCGTATCTTCGGAATCCTTTAGAAAAGAGCACCGTACCAGGCGCAACCTTGGAAAACGCTCTCGTGAACACTATCAAGCCTGGATAGTAAAAGGAGATGGAAAACGTGTATATAGTTCAGTGACAGAACATCTGGTCAATCCAGGACATTCAGCGCCATTCAAAAAATCCTTCAAATAATATACAAGATTCGATCAAACCTATCAAAGGGAATGAAATTAAGGCACCTAGGCATAGACGAGGCACTAGCTATCCAAAAGCTCAACCCTTGTCCTTGCCATGGCCATGATACCTAAACTTCCTGTTTATTTATGTTATTTTATGTGTTTCTTAATCCCTATTTACACTACCATGTTTTCATATCCGAGCTTCCTGTCTATTTTATCATTGTATTATTTTTACATTTTTAATCCCTGATTGCATAAACAACTATTCGTCAGATTAGTTATGATCCCACTAGATTTTTTATCCAAACATCTTGTCTATTATTTCTACATTTTGTAACCCCTAACTGCACAATCAATGTCAGTCTTCTCAGTAATTATGATGCCACATTGTCTGAGCTCTATTCGCCCCCCCCCGTGTTTATTATTATGGCATTTTAATTTTTAATTGTATTTCTGTTAATTTGACCCTTAATCGGAAATTATTCTAGAGCTTTCCCGCCCATTTATTATAAATACACGAATGTACAGCTGTCTAGTTGATGATGACTTCGTCGCAAAGTAAATTTTCTTCCTCACTGCAACTGTCTTTTTATTATTCCCCATGATCAAATGTGTATACTTTCCTTTCGTTACATCTCAGCTGGTTAAGTTACCTATCGCATCATCACTGCGTTTCTGTCCCTTTATTTTCTTTGCTTTTTTTTAAGTGTGGCTACTTTAATTGATGCACTCATTACTGTGTATGAATTTGATAAACAAGCACAGGCTCCAAGACATAGATATTCGTTGTGCGTCGGTGGCACAGTGGTTAGGATTCTCGACGACCATGCACATGGTCCGGGGTTCGAGCCCACGCCGACGCACACCTGATATCTATGGTCGGCCTGCGAAATTTTGGCTACTGATATCCATGCTGAAAATTCCGCACTTGTACCAAAATTACAGTGTGGAATCAAGCTGTAAATAGAAAAAAACAGGTAAAACAGTTCGGTGAATACGGGCAAAAATTACTCAAAGCAATTAGCTCCCTATATGAATTTCGACAACGATACAATAAGAAGACGTGTAGTTTATCTGAAACGTGTTATTTATTGGCGCAACACATTTCGCACATTCTCATCACACACACGAGTACTTGTCATACACAGTTTTTATATAAGGCAAGAAAGCATGAATAATTACAATACAGGTCACATTGTGTACAGGTCAAGGTCACAAAATAATGGGTAGGGGGACGCAAAAGGTGTGGGTAAGAAAGATAAAGGGAGGAAAAAATGAGGGCAAAGAAAGGGTTTGAAAATATTATGAAGTAAAATTGGTCCTTGGTTCTAAGTTGGATTACCAAGGCAGGTTTAAGGTGATAACAAATAACTTTTGGACGCATAAGACAGGTTTAAGTCTTTTAATGGCTAAGGCTTCAATGAATTTAAGTATGTGACCCAACCTTGTCTTGTATATCGGCTTAAAGGCATTATTAAAATCAACCTTATGACCCGTCTCTATAATATGTTTCGCTATAGATGATGTTGGACATCTATTTCCGGTGGCAATTGTGTCTGGTGATTTTATATGTTGTTTTTACAGCCATTTTGGAATGTGTTCTGTAGCCCTAACCTGCAGAGACCGATAGGTCCTCCCTATGTACGTGTCTCCCTCCACACATACATGTAAATTGATAAACACAGTGAGATGTGACACTATCGTTCGGATAATTTGAGCGTTTACAGGACAGCATAGTTCTCGTTTTCTCTACGAAGATAAGTTTAGCTGCATAAAAAGTATTAATTTCGGCCTTGAGTCTTTGTCTAGTGACCAGACTTTGTTGATCACCTCTGAACGGCAAGGATATGTAAACATCCCTTTTTTGGGAGCTGATTGGATCGATAGAGCTCTATGATGGTTGACACCTCCTTAACGCTTAATATATCTCAATGGGTAATAGTAATCTAACAATATCTCAGTGAGGTGTTGTCTTCTTCAATTGTATCAGCGGTACATATACGGTGAATTAAAGCGCTTGAACAAACATTTAACCAACACCTTTTTATACTGTAGTGGACAGAAACTATGATAATTTAGATACTGTCCCGTACATGTGGACTTTCTGCAGACGCAAATCGTTTAACTGACCCATCTTCTTGGCGGCAGGTTATGAGTACATCTAAAAATGGCAGGCAACCATTATTCCAAATCTTTTGGTTTTCTTTACTTTCTATAAAAAAGTAGGTTTATTTCTTCATCATAATGGCTCAACTGTTTTATTCATCTCTGCTTTTTTTTAGTCGTCGCTGATGTTGAATGATCTGCCTCCGCCTCCTGCACCAATTTTCGCCGATAAAAATTTATATGAATCATCGCATCCTCATAATAGTGGAGATATCAACGAGTCTGAACAAACTGGTCCACTGCCTCCACCAGCAGCACCCGTCTCGTTCCCATCGCCGCAGACTTCTCTTCCAAGTCCACCTGTTCAATCACCCCAGGCGCCGGTACCCCCACCCCCACCACCTCCTCCACCACCTCTGCCTCCATTTATGGTGCCTCAAAAATCAACCTCTGAAGTTACAAGGGAGCATCAAATATCAGTGCCGGCAAATAAGGACACTGCTACACGATGTGCTGTTATGCCTCAATGCCCGCCTCAGGATTTACTTTCTGCTATACGTGCTGGTTTTCAATTACGCAAGGTGGGTGAACGAAATCCACCTGATCCATCAAAATCGAGTCGTGCAAATAGTCTGTCGACTTTAGGCAGTAAACCGAAGGATGTACAAGTAAGTTAGTCAGTTCTCAGTTGTTTTTTCTATCTGCACTTTCTGAAAATGTGTCTATGCTTCCTTTCGAATCTGCAGGTCATTTTTTACTAGGTTAGTTTTGTTGGGGGTGTTTGTGGTATAAGACCTGAAGATTATCTTCCATTCTGAGCTTGAAACTGTCTAGATGTAACATAGAACACCCCCCCCCCCACCGTTGTAAAAGTACATTGCTCCTTGTTCTTTTTCTAAATATTCTGAGCGTCTTTTTATCTGTCTGTTTTCGACATAGAACCACTTTGCACCGATGTGCACCAGGTCAAGTCGCCACACTTCCTCCTCGTAGCACACAAAGCAATAGAAGAAAAGTAGAAGAAATGCATAATAGAGAGAGAGACACACACACTAAACAGAGGTGTGAGACAAAGGAATAGTAATCACGAAGAACAATATAGTTTCATTGGAAATCATAAGTCACAAGGAGTGGATGCATCTGGGACAGCCAAGCATTGAGAACGATTTTGAGCCAGCCATATCACCAATTGTTTCCAGCCTTCATTGGTTTTTACCGTTCCGAGTACCCAAACCAGTGAGGAAGTCTGTACCTTCCTACTTGGCTGGCTGGCTTAAAATAACTGTTGTGGATTTCATTGACTGGTGAAGCCGTGTTTTGGTTTGACCGTCGCTAGCTCGTTTCCAGCTTGACCCTATATCAGCTAACATTGCCCATTGTTGATGAAGGCGGTGACTAGGCATACGTAACATATGTCGTAACCATTTCAGTCGATGTAACTGCTTCACAGCCTCGTCGAATGATTTCTCCTCCCACCTACCTAGCACTCGACTTAAGCCTAATCTCAATATTGCTCACCCTATTACACCTACCACTTCACACGGGACATAGAACACAGGCACCTATGAACGAAGACAGCTAATCTTTTCATGTCTTCCATTCTCAATAACCAGGTTGCACAATATTCAGAGCGCGAGTTCCTTTAATGTGTACTAAAGTAGTGTAAAATAAAAAGATAACCCTTTGAAACACCTATAGATATTATGCCAGTAGCTTCAGAATTTCATCTCGGAGGTTGTTCATCACATTGTGAATAACTTTTTATTTTAATATATGTGGTGGTAGTAAGTAATTCCATTTTAGTTTGTTTATTAGATGTATCACACACGGTCAGTAAAACAGTATTGGTATTTACTGGATGACAAAGTTTCGAACAAAATCTTTCATTGCACATAATCATATTTTCAATTATAATCAGAGAATTTCGAAACTTGAGTTTTATAGTTTTCTTTGTACTCCTATTTGTCGTCGGCATTAGGGTGGTAGAATTTTCCAGATATCTGGCTGGACGGGTGTTGAATATGGCACCAAGAAGGATGCGCCACACAATAATAATAAAACAACATAGATCAAAGAAAAAGAAAAAATATATAAGTAGAGAACGGATAAAGAACTTCATCTGGAAAGAAAACAGTCATACTACTTAACAAGTTCAAACAGCATTCGTCAACTATCATCGGGAAGGGAACAAAGAAGGAAATTATAACACGTTCGCCATTGATGACTGCGATTCTTGGCCATATCCGATAACGTTTTGAGCCATCGATTCGAGCTATCTCGCGGACCCCAACCAGGGAGTCGTGACACACCAACCGATGACGCTAATCTAGCGAAAACATCCTTCATCCCACGACGACGTCACGTCATGGACTGACCACCCGTCCGCCTTCTCCATCTCGTCCTAGTGTTGACTAGTAAACACAGACCTGTACGGAAGCCTCTAGGATGATATTCGCAGCACATGTCCAAGCCACCGGAGCGGGTGTTTCCAGATGACGACAACACTCAATGAATGGTGATCTCCACTGTGTTCAAACACACGCCGCCGAACCTCAGAGTTACTCAGACGATGGTGCCATCGGACGCAAGCAATCTTGCGGAAACAGCGATGATCAAGCACGCAGAGTCGCCGCACATCTTCAGCTTGGAGAGGCCAGGTTTCACGGATGTAGAGCAGGGCAGCCCGCACCGAAACATTGTATACTCGACCTTTGACAGCCAGGCTAACGTCGTGATAACACCAGCCTAGTCTTCATTATACGGTTGGAAATCTCATCCGTAACTCCTCCGCCAGCGCTCACACAACTATCCAGATACACAAACTTATCTAAACCTTCAAGCTGTTCACCCGCAAGAGTGAGTGCAGGTACAGGCTCCTGCCAATCTTGTAACAGTAATTTGCACTTAGACGGCGCAAAGTACACATACCATACTTACAGACACTGATCGCCAACTGATTAGGTGCGATTTGCGGCAGCCTGCATGCTAACGCACAGTAAGACTATATCGTCTGCATACTCGAGGTTGAAAAGTCTATCACCAGCTACAGCAGATCTACACCACCTTCACACACACACATCCTTCAAAGCTGACTCCAGAATATGTCATCGATGGCAATTCGTGAATGAATCTTGATATTCATTGGGAAATACAAAGGCTTTTATAATAATTATTATGTTATTGTTGTTCCCTTGGGTTCCTAGTGGAACATAGGGCTTCAGCTGCACGTCTCCACTTGCTTCTGTCTTCTCCTGTACTGTTCACCTGCATCCATGTTAGTCCATACTCTTTCAACTTCTCTTCACGCACACGATCTCCATGTCACCCTTGCACTGACATCCCACTCGCCGCCTGCTTCCCTTTCGGGTTCCACTCGAGCAGTGGCCTGACGAGCGAACGATGTTTTTGATTTGATTTTTTTGATTCTTGATTTACAGCTTGATTCCACACTGTATTTTTGGTACAAGTGTGGAATTTTCAGCATGGATATCGGTAGCCCAAATTTCGCAGGCCGACCATAGATATCAGGTGTGTGTCGGCGTGGGCTCGAACCCCGGACCATGTGCATGGTCGTCGAGAATCCTAACCACTGTGCCACCGACGCACCCAGCGGTCTCCCCAGCGAGTGTACTATCCATCTCCACTTTCTCCTGCATATTTGTTGTTGTTGGGCGATTGGTCTTGTTTTGTTTGTCCCCATAGTTTCTTGTTGTTGGTGATTCTTTCCGGCCCGGCCCGGCCATCTGATCTTCAGTATAGCTCGATGATAGTTGTTGATAGAGGTCTGCAACAGGCTGTTGGAAATATTCTTTGTGACACACCCGCCAAGTTTCCCATCCGTATAGAAGAACTGACTGACTTGACGTTGTTTGCGTTGAAAATCCAACCGAATTTCGTTGTTGATGCTGGTTGAGTGACGAAGATTTCCAGATTGGTTTCATCTTGATGAGTGAATGTGTTTCTCGACCTCCCCCCCACCCGATTCTCGCACGATTTGACATCCTCGTGCGTTCCGACTGCGTGTGGTCGAGATAATTCTCCCTAGATAAGTAAGTGAATGAAGTAACCTCTTTCAACTCCCTCCCGTTGATGGTGATTGGTACTGGAAGTTGCTGTTGCTATTGTTGTTGGTTGGTTGGTTATTTTCATAACCTCCCTCTTGTCTATGTTCACCTGGAGTCCTGTCTTCGCCGGCTGCTTCTGTGACCAGTTTATAATAATAATAACAATGGGAATTCTCCCGAATAATTAATTTTCAAAAACTAGACTGAAAAGAAGAATTGTGTATGTATTTGCCACATGCCCTGACGCGCACTTTCAACAACAGAAAACTGGTAAGTTTACATGCGCGCTTACATTCACGTTCGTTTTTCCGTTCACTTGTTACAATGGTTTTTAAATGTCTCTCGTTTCTCATTCGGACTTAAACATAGTTCAAATTTTGTGAATGAAAAAAATCTATCCACTCCACATTTATTGGGTGTTTTTGTAATGGTTTGTTTATTATTCGCATTACTGTTATTTATTATGCTTAATGGCAGTAATAATATTAATTAATAATAATAATAGAAATGCATATTTGTTTAATTGTAAATGAACGTCAATAATCTGTTCCACCTTAGGTGTTGACACGTCTTACGGCTTATATTGTAGGCTAAATGATTAGTAAAGCAACATATAGAATTGTCAGGTTCAATAAGATATCGTAATTTAAAAAATATCAAAAATGGATGTTTAATGTATCACATGCACGAAATATAGAATTAGAATTAATTTTGTTTGCACGTGCACAAAATGTTTGTTAGGAAGTGTGTGTGTGTGTGTGTCAGTGTATGCGTTTCCACTTGAATGGATAGAGGATTCTCTAGCGTAGATATATGGTATCGTATCTGGTTATCGATCGAAGGATGTGTGTGTGTGTGTGTATTGTGCAACGGTTCTCTGCGTCCTTCTGTCTTTCTATCTGTCAGAAGCAGTCATTGAAAGTGAGGTTGTGTGCAGTGTCTAGCTAGCTAGCTAGCTGTCTTTGATCATAGGTGTCAGCGTTCGTTCTATCTCCCGTGTTAAGGGGTGTGTGTGTGCTATATCGAGTGTAGTGACTCGATTAAGTATATATTCGATATCGCGATTCGCTCGTGCTGCTGTCAAATGTAAGATGATGTTACAGGACTAACTGGACTACATTGACTTATTCCTAGCGTATCCAACTGATTTGCTGTCGGCCAAAGGGCGTGTGTACTGCTTAACAGTCCGCTACGTCCTCCTTTATGGCTAACTGGCTGTGAGACCTGCCACTGAGAGTGGGACATGAAAAGCTTGGCCGACTAGCTGTCTTTCATCATAGGTGCCTGTGTTCGTTCTATCTCCCTCCTGTGTTAGTTGGTGGTATAATGGGGTGAGCAATATTGAGGTTAGGCTTAGGTCGAGTGCTAGGTAGGTGGGAGGGGAAACCAATCGACAAAGTAGTGAAGCTACATCGACTGAGATGGTTAGGACATATGTTATGTATGCATGCATGCATGACTATACATCGATCGCCTTCCTCCACAATGGACAATGTTAGCTGACATAGAATGGATCAGGTTGGAAAAGAGTTAGCCAGTGGTGGTGGTCAAACCAAAACATGGCTTCATCATCAGTGAATCAAATCCACAAAAGTTAATTTAAG